GCTGCCATACAGACAAGATGTCGGCTGTTGTTATGGCACTCTAACAATGTTTTCCGGGAACCACACTGTTCCTTCATCACCATGAACACACACCGTCCTGCTGTCCCTAATACTCCCTACAGCACCGAATGTGGATTAATCCGCTGCTGAAAATAGTCCCCCAGCCAATGTACTATTTCCCCTGTTTGTTAGCAGTCGTCTCAGGAAATGACTGACAGACACAGACAGGGGCAGAGAGGTTGGAAAGTAATGAGAGACGTAGTAACACGTTGTTGGTTTTGGTCTTTTCGTGGGATTCGCTGACAATAAGAAAACTATTGAATAACACCAGACTGATCCTTTAACACGAACCAGCTCAGGAAAGACTGTCACACTCAGGACACACGCTAGACAAATGCATTATAACAGGCCACCTCAAAAAGACACAGAACAGCTCACACACATTCTTTCGCACCACATTTCTGTCTCTTTGGCTCACACACACACACACACTGTATGTCACCGTGCTGTATGTTCATACTGTGCACAAACAGATAAAATCTCCGTCTGAACTCCAGATCTCTCTAAGCCGGCGTGGAGTCTGCGGTGAAACCATAAAAGCCGTCTGCATTTTTACAGCTGCAATAAAACCAGATCTCTTTATTCACTCTACCATCACAGATACTGCCTGGCTGTTTTTCCACTCAGCTGGTCTGCTTATAGACACAGTCAGCATTTTAGATGGATGCTGGGATGACAGGATGTGATGTAACATTATGTGACGGCACTGAGGGAAGACGTGTGCAATGAGCCCTGGGGGATGTTAAGCATAAACATGCTTCATTACATTTATACGTGAAGTTCAAGCTTCGACTTATTGCTTTATATCAGGTGTCAGATGTTAATATAAACCTAATTAAAATAATATGATAATACAGTAATATTGTAGTTGCAGATGTTGGCAGTAATTTTAATTTTAAAGATAATTTCAACATTGCAGTTCATTACTTTGATCAGGTTTTATTCAATAAAATTCAATAATTTAATAAATGTGGAAAATATAATGCTGTCCTTAGGAAATGTAAATAATAATCCTTCACATAATTTACCACAACCTCTGTATTCAAGGATTTACATCATAATAAAGGTCCAGTGTGTAACATTATAGTATGTTTTCATTAATGTATATGATCCAGCATTTCAAAACCTTTAATCTAGATCAGAATTATCCGGATAGGATTAAATCTCAGATTTGGGTATTTTGGAACAGGATATGTGATCCTGATCATACGAAAATTGGGATACAGATAATCCAATCCTTCCCAGAATCCAGATCAAATGTTATTTTTTGTGTATTTCAAAACTTTAAGGTGGACGTTGGATCCAGCATGGATTCACTAAATACACTAAATACAAATATACAGGAAATGTAGTTTGAGTCTTTGTCAGTTTGGTGAAATTTGCATGAGGAGGTGTTGGTGCATATGTTTATTGAGACAAGGATGTCTACAAGACTGTAAGTCAGTGTGTCTGTATTGTAATACCTATTGTGAACTTGCCACTGACAAATACCCCCCATATTATAAAAACAAAATCCTAAAACAAAGACTGAAACTAATAAAAACTAAACTAAAACTAAACATTTTTTAACAATAATGCAGATAAGTGAATAATATTCAAACTGATTTATACTGAAATGTTTTTTATTACCAACAGTTGGTCGTCTATCCAAAGACTGTAAATCTAGATTCTGTAAACCTGATCTTGTGCAATCTGGATCAGATTGTTTGAAAAACCAGGACGAAACCTACAAGATCAGTTTTCATCTATTAAGTGTTTTTCTAACACATTTTGTCTTTCCAGGCGATAGACGGTATCCACCAGGTGGGGGTGTACTGCCTGGCTCTGGTGCCCTCCAACACTCTGCCCAAGACTCCTCTGGGTGGCATCCACCTGTCAGAGACCAAGCAGCTGTTCCTGGAGGGGGCGCTGCACCCCTGCAATGTGCTCATGTGTCCGCACACCTGCGTCACCAACCTGCCCAAACCCCGGCAGAAGCAGCCAGGTATGTGACGGTATGGTGGTAGATGGGTGGAGTCTTCATTCCTGTACTCCCCTTCTCTTCATCATGTCGTCTTCCTCCTCTTCCTCAGAGATCGGCCCCGCGTCTGTGATGGTCGGGAATCTGGTGTCGGGGAAGAGGATCGCTCAGGCCAGCGGCAGGGATCTGGGTCAGATCGAAGACAATGACCAGGCAAGGAAGGTGTGTGTGAGAGGGGGGGCTGCTGGTTTTCATCATCATCATCATCATCATCATCATCATCATCACCACACATACATATATACACCTAATGAGGCCTTTGGATCCATTTCTTTATGTTGTCGTGGTTTATTCGCAGTCACACTTTCATTTAACTGGCCTTCAATTTACATTTCACATATTCATTTATTAAAACCTTCATTGTATCATTGCATCATCGTTTGAAGCAGCAAAACTGTTTTTGTGTTGCTTTGATTTATCACCTTTTTCCTGAAAAATCAAGTTAAATACACATTTAATGGTTTTCTATCAGAGCACTTAAAGGTGCAAAGTGGCCTTCTTCCTTAAAGGGGACATATTATGGCTGCATGAAGGGCCAGTGTAAGGTAAATAAGGATGTTTTTGAAGAGTGAATCATGCAAAGCCACTCCAGTGGAGTCTCAGACGAAGAATATATAACAGAAAAGTTTTTTTCCCACTATGACTCAACATTAAAAAGCAGTTAATGAAGCAAAAAGGAAGTCTGTTGCCAGTGGGTGATGGCAACAAAAGTTAAAGAAAGAGGGGAGGGTGTTAAGACGCTTTGGCAGCGCTGCTCACATCGTATCCGTGCCAATAAAAGCAGAGTAAGACAGGAGAGGGAAGTCAGCGGAGAAACAAAAACACACAGCCAGAGAACAAGACTGAACGTAAGAAACAGAATTAAGAGCCAGAAAAATCAGAAATAAAGAGCAAGAGCGCCTGTTCACCAGAGACAATGAGAAATAAAGAGAAAACACAGAACAGAAAGAAGACAACAAAGAATAATTTAAGTAGAGAGACGACAAAAGGCGAGAGCAGAAGTGATAGAGAGGAACAGGCAGTGTGTGTTACTGACAAAACTGATCTTCTTCTCTTCCCTCGCGCTGAAAATGTCATCAGTTACAGCGTCAGGCAGCCAGCGGCTGCACACGCTCTGTAACCTCTAACGAGAAGAGACAGGCCCCAAATAATAACAACCGCCACCTCCACCGCAGCACGCTGGGAGCCCGTGTCATCCGCCTCAACAACATGCTGCTCGTCTGGCAGTTGGTTTGGATGTCACCACAACAGATGTTGATGAACTTTGTTTTCTGCTGTTTTCTCCTGCCAACTCAACTCAAATTTTGTCTTTTGGCACCTCAAAAAACTTGTTGTGTTGTTGCCGAGACCCCAATAGACCAAGCAGGTAACGGCAAACGTAATATCTGACACAATATGTCTCCTCGTCTGTTTTATAAAGTGGTTAAAGGTGTATTCTTGCCTTGAATTTAAAGAAGTTGTTGGGAAATACACTTTTTATCTTTTCAAGAGTTGGATAAGATAAATCAATCAATCAAAACACTTCGCTCAATGGAGACTGAGGACATTCTCTCAGCTTTTATTGCGAAATCTAGGTGGAAGCAATTAGAGAATTAAATAAAACAACCTGCATTGCAGAACCAGTTCAAAGTCTTTGCGGTGGTGAAATACACAAGTAAACACTGTCGCAACATCTGAGGTTGGGACGTCCATTATTAAAACTATTTTTCCGTATGTTTGCAACTACTTCCTCCAGACGATCGGTAGGTGCTGAGATCTCCAATCGTCTGGTATCACGAGACTACCTCGATCGTATCTGTTAAATATGAAGCCACAGCCGGCAGCCAGGTAGCTTAGCTTAGCACAAAGACTGGAAACAGCTAGCCCGGCTCTGTCCAAAGTTGAACCCAAAACATTATTTGCCCATTTTCCATTCCAGCCAAACCCCACAGCTGCTGATTTACACGCCGTGCAGTAAATTACTTCTTGTTCACATAACAAACATCCATCAAAAGGTAGATCCTGAGGCTCGCTTTGATGAGACGTTAATGGAGAAAGGTCGGTCTGTTTACCTCAAAAGTTGATCTTAGGATCAATGCAGGAGTCTATAAAACCCGAGGACTCCAGTCGCCTGTGAATGAAACCATTCCTCTTGTTATGTAAAAGAAGTTTTAAGATAAAAGAAACTTGAAGGAAAAGGTCTGCAGTGATGAATCCGAGCTTTGTTTTGGCTTTGCTCTGTTGCTTTGTTACGGTGCATCAGTTTCAACCAGCTACCTGCAGTAGAGATGTTGCTGTTGGTTTTGTGCAGCTTAAACTACGACATTGGATGTTATATCTGCACACTAAAGCAGCTGCTGACTGTCAAACCTGTGGACGAACCTCGGATAAAGCCTCAGTATCGCTGGTTTGGAGGCATTGTTGCATCTAATTAAATTTAGACAAATCTGCTCTGCCATTTGCAAAATTCAGCTGAAATGAAAACTAATAGTCCTGAGGCTTCACGCCATAATGAAGTTGAAGCGGGATGATCATAATGGTAGCGATTAGCTCAGACGTAGAATGCATCATTTGCCCGGAGCGACATGTTTTTCTCAGCAGATGAAGCAGCCGGTCAGTGTTCCCGCACAATGAGCTTGTGATTTTGGGAATGATTGTGAGTTTGGTTTAATTCGTCTGGCAGTCGAGGTAGACGTTATGTTTCACGAGGTCAGAATTTTAAGCTTCATTCAAAATGAAATGTGTGATTTGGGGGTTTTGTGTGAAAAATGCTCAATCTGTCTCCACGTCTGCTGAAGGTTTTATAGGATGGAGATACTCCACGCTCTCTGTGCTTCTGGCTCCTGCTGCTGCCTCTTATCATCAATATGTCCCCGAGCTTATTGATTCATTCCTTCATCTATCTGTTTACCACTTGCTCCACATCTGTGAGGAACCCCCACCTTCCTCCTCCATGTCCATCCCTCTGAAAACCAAGCCCTCTGTGTGAATGAGCTCCTCTTGCTTTTGCAATTGTTCCTGCGTTTATTGAAATGTGCTGTGTGTGTGTGTGTGT